GGAAGGACTGGGGCCTCTGGCTGAGCAGAGAGGGCTGGGAAGAATACTCCGGCTGGGAAACAATGTGAGCAAAGCAGAGGCTGCGGTGGGGGCAGAGCAGGAAACTGGGACCCCGGAGGCATCTGGCTGGATGGCTGGAAGGCGGGGGAGCTCAATCAACAGCACTGGAGCAGTGGGAGCCTCAGAAGAATGTGGAGCACGGCATGACAGGATGGAAGCTAGCTTGAGGATGGTCAGCCTCACAGCTGGTGTTGGCCTGGCTGGACTTGACGGACAACAGAGCCTGAAGTATTCAGTCTCAGGATTCTGAAAGGCATGTTGATGGGAGGAGGAGAGGAAGTATGTTGGAGCAAAAGGAACAGGAGCTCTGGGTCAGGCTCAGACATGGGCACCAAGCCTTGCAGGATTGATGGGAAGGTTCGATGTCATTCTGAAAAGCATCTTGGCTGGTGCCTGGCACAGGGGTAGGTGGTGAAAGTTGACATTATGAATTCTGCCACCTTCTCCAGGGAGGGTCTCTTGATTTAAACCAGAGTTGGGGATGGTTGGGCTGTCCCTTCTATGCAGAACTCTCCCTCTTCCCTAAGAAATCTTAAGAGCAGGAAGGTGGAGGGATGTGGTGGGGAGCTTCAAAAGACCAGATCTGGAAGGAATCAGGACGGGGAGAGAGCCGAGCTGTTTGGAGCACGCCCTTGAGTGTCTGTTCATGGCGAGACTTCCTCAAAGCCTCCCTCCTCTGGTAGCCTGCCCCAACCTAGGAGCTTTGCTTTCTGCCCTCGCAGGAGAACAGGGGCCACAGATGAGATGTCCAGGCGGTTTGGGAAGAGGTTAAGGAAAGTGAGGACGTGGGATTTCCAAAGGGGGCTCTGGGCACCAGGAACATCAGATGCCTGCCTCCCCAGGCCTACCTGCCCACTCAGCTCAGGGGGAGTGCACCAAGCCCCCACCACTAACTTGCTGGATGACCCCGGACGGTCACACCTCTCTAGACCTCAGTTCTGTCACCTGAGAGAGGTGGGAGCTGAATGAGATGACCCCTAATGGCCTCTCCAGCTTTGACAGTCTACAGGAAAGCTCCCATCTATTCTGAGGTTGGCACAGTGCTTCTTTTGGTGGTCTAAGTCAGGAGGGAAGAGCTAAAAGTAAAAAACTGGGGGTGTGTTCCAGCTTCAGGTTTTGGGCAGAACCAAGTCTCCTCCCCTGCGTTGTACTTCTGGGAGCTTGGAGGTCATGGATGGGGAAGCTGCTTAAGACCTAGGCTCCTAAGCAGACAGCTGGTTGTCAGGGAAGCTGTGGTTTCCGGGAAGAAAGGAGACTGGGGATGGGATGTGTGTGTACGTGTGTGTGTGTGGGGGGGGGCGGGGGGTGAGGGTAGTTTGGAGAGAACCATCCCCCATCAAGGGTCTCCTAGGCCCACCCAAACTGTAAGGAGCATGGCCTTGGCATCCCCCAGCCCTGTGTTTTCTGCTCTGTGATTTCTCTGACCTTTGAAAGTACCTCTCACTGCTCACTTCTGCAGCCAGACACCTCCAAAGGGAAGTTGCTTTTCTGAGAATCTGAGGGAGAAGCCTGGACAGGGAGGAGCCAGGGATGCTGCAGGAGGAGCTGCAGGGCCCATCACTCCGCCTGCTCCCCTCCCGCCGTGCGGCCTGTAGCCCCTCTCCCGGGTAACCTGGAGGCTGGCAGGCACTGAATAGCGACCTGCTGGCTGCCACCGACCATACCATTCAAACTTCCAAGGGGGAAGGTGAGGGCCATGGAGCCCCAGAGGCAGTAAAACCCTCCCCCTGCACCCTTTTGCCCAGCGCCTCTGCCCCCGAGAGGCTCCAAGGAGACAGCTGGAGTGAGGCCTGGAAGGCTGGGGGCCCTCCAGCTCCCCTGGACAGCTCCCGTCTCTTTCTCCCCAGTGCAGTTGCCCTCCCTACCCCCTTGGCTGTCCCCTCCCCCAAGGCAGGGCCAAACTCTTCCAGACAAAGCCAGGTCCAGCTGGAGAGTGAGGCCCACTCTGCCGGGCCTAGGGCAGGGTGGGGGTCACGGCCACCTGGTCACGGGCTTCCCTTGCACGGCTGAAAAGACCTGTCCACCGAGCTCAGGACTGCCGAGGGCTGGCTCTGAGGTCAGTGCCTAGGGACTGAAGGAGAAGGCTTGGTGAGGGAAGTGGGGGTCACCCTTGCTGGGGGACCTGGGGAGGATGTGAGGGTGTGCTCAGACCCAGGCAATCCCTCTGGTTCTACAGAGAGGAGAAACAAAGGCCCTTGGCAGGCCCTGTTCTGTGGAACTCTGAGGGAAGAAAGATGGTTCTAGAGGGAACTTGCAGAGGTATGTCAAGCTCAGAGCCTGCTGGTGTGCCCTGACTCCAGTGGGAAGGAGAGGCTTCAGAGGCTCTCGAGACAACTCCCCAGAACCAGCCAGCCCTTTCTGGCTGATCAGCAGAGTGTCAAGGGCCTGGCAGCTGGACTTGCCTTGTGCTCCAGGGATGGGGTCTTGCTGTTTTCAAGCGCTTGGGACTCTCTTGGGGCCACAGGAACTACTCAGATGCTAATTACAACTCCACTCGTCCTTTAATTTTTTTATTTTGAGTTGGTATCTCATTCTGTCACCCAGGCTGGAGTGCAGTGGCAACATCACGGCTCACGGCAGCCTCGATCTCCTGGGCTCAGGCGATCTTTCCACCTCAGCATCTTGAGTAGCTGGGGCTACAGGTGTGCGTTACCACGCCCCGCTAACTTTTTGATTTTTTGTAGAGATGGGGTTTCGCTATATTGCCCAGGCTGGCTTTTTATTAAAGTGGGTCCCAGGCCTGAAGCCTGGAAGCCTGACGGGGTCTCCAAATTCATTCAAAGGCCTAGAAATAACATTAGAACGAGTAGGATGAAGCATCCCCATTTCAGACTGCTCGTTTCTTACTCCCAGCCAAGCATCACTCAGGATAGGATAGTGGGACAGTTGGTTTCTCCCCGTGGGAGATGGCAGTGGGCACACCCTCTCCCTCCTCCCAGCTCAGGCTCAAGGAAGGCCAACTCATGTGTGGCTGCCTAGCCAGAGCGCTCTCCGGACCTGATGCCTGGAAGGCGGGGACCCTGGGCAGCAAGACGGGCATCAGAGTTTCCAGCTGGGTGCAGGGAGGGGTCGTTTTCTGTCTGGGAATGCTGGGAGGAGTGGTGGTAAGAAACTGGTGGGAGGTGGGGTGCTCGGCCTGCCCTCAGTCTGCTGGGCTTGGAAGCCAGGAGTGAGGTCCTACGACTGCTGGTGAGTGCCTGGGGTGGGGCTAGGTCTCCCTGGGGTGGGGGCTGGGCGACTGCTTCTTTCCCTAGGACCTGTGACAGGGATTCTTTACAGACAACTGCAGGGCCTGGGCACAGCTTGAGGTCTTTGCTCCTGCAGAGTTCGGTGGTAGAAGACTGTGGTTGAGACTAACTATAGGAAGGAGGAAAATTCACTCTCCTCCAGCCTCATGGAAGACTCCAAGGTCAAACAGAAAGAATGATGTTTGTTTTAGACCCTCTTTGGGATTTCCTGTCCTGTGGGAGTAGAATTCAAAGGTCACAAATGCTGGCCCACAGGCTGGAGGCAACCTCCTCGTGTGTTTTGTTTGGCCTGTGCCGTGTTTCCAATGTTTGAAAATTCATTTAAAATGTTTTTGGAATCCAGTTTACTTGGCCTTTGCCGTGTCCTCTCTCCCACCTTCATCCTTGTCTTAAACAAATTTGGGTTAGTTGCCAAGATTTAAACATCAGGGATGTTTGCCTGAAAAATCCAGATTTCTGGCTTCTCTTGGGAAGTTGGCAGAGTCGACCACACTGGGTCTGCATTCTGGCATTGGCATCATCTGTCCTCAGGTAGCCTTGCCCACCTGTCCCCTCTGGTCACATGTTATCTGTGGCCAGGCTCTGTAAGCATTTTTATTGCAACCTCAGACATATTCAACCAAAGGCTCAGCCTGGTTTTCTACCTACAAGGACCATCTGCTGTGTTTCTCTACCGGGATGATCTTAACTGACAAGAGAAATGCCCCTGCAGGTGGATGATGTCTCTGGGGAGGTTTCCAGCCTCGCCTCCTGGGGGCTTACTTCCCACCTGTTCCCAGAATACCTCACTGAGCTAGAGAGAGGGCAGGGCCAGTGGGGTGGCAGGGCCATGGGGACAGGATTCACCTGGCTCTGGCCTTTGCTAGGCCACTTGCTCACAACGTGGCTCTGGGCTTGGCTTTATTCCCGTTTGAGCCTCAGTTTTCCCTCCTGTCACGGGAGCAGGCCAGACTGCTTCCGAAAGCAGCCACAGGAATGCCCACAGAGACAGACAGGTGATGTAAGTGTGTGGTGGGCCTGTGGGGGAGTGTGGCAAGCTGGGGGCCAGTGTGTCCTGTCTAGAGGGGGCAGCCACTACTCAGCCCCAGCCACTGGTATCAGGCAGGAAGGTGGGCCCTGCGTGGCCAAAGGTGGAATTCTGACATTTTTAGAGAAGCCAGGTGCCCAGATATTTATATGAAAACTCTTACTGTTTTAAAAAAATTATTCACAATTAAATTTATGAAAACACTGCAAGGCCCCAATGAAACATACTCGTGGGCTCCCTGCCTGCAGCCTTGGCGCTAGTTAATGTCCAGGGTCTCCCCAGCTACAGCGTGTCATCATTTACGACTCATTCCTGGCCACACAGAGAGTTATTGATGGAGTTGGTCCTAAATCCCAAGTTCTCAGGTCCAAGACTCTCTGGTAGATGATGAGGACTGATTTGAAAATGCTGAAGCCACTGCCCTCTGTCTCTGCGAGAGGGGACCTGAGCTCAGGCCCAGCTCTGTCACTCCTCAGTGTGTGTGCGCCTTGACTTGTCACCTTGCTGGGTCTCGCTGTCCCAGCCTGCAATACGGCCATGATGCCATCTGGTTTAGCAGTGCCCAGCCCATCGGTATTCCCAGGTAAGTCTCCCCTTCCCCCTCCCCCCGACTGGGTTCCTCTGGTCTGCCCCTGAGCTTCTGCCCTGGTGATTTTGCAGGAGTCATGAGCACAGAGAGCCCCAGCCCTACCAGCTCCCCGGCTATCAGCCCCCTCGCCTTCTCAACTCCGGCACCCCCAGGGACCTTCGCAGAGGCAGCCAGCCCCCTCCCCATGCTCATCGCCCTGGCCTGCATTTTCCTCTTGCTGGCCACCTGTCTGCTGTTCATGACGCTCTGCAAGCCGGCAGCGCTGGACCCCAGCCGCCGCAGGGCTCGCGAGTGCATGCCCCACCACCCGGGCCCCAGTGAGCCCCAGCTCCGGCTCTGGAAGCGCCTGGGCTCGCTGCGCCTCTCCCTGCACAGCTTCCGCCGAGGTCGGCCCGCTGCTCCTCCACGCCCCCTGCCAGGCCGCGATGACAACCGCAGCGACTGTGACTGCATGGAGTCTACCAAGATGTGACAAGGTGTCCGCTCACATGCTGCCCCACCCCTGCACATCTCCTGCCTTGGATGGAGCCTGGCATCTCAGGCTGCAGGAAGACAGTGGCCTAAGCAACCTGGCCACACACTTACCCCCAGTGGTTCTGTGTGCCCAGACTGGTGCCCTTGCAGAGATGGCCCCCAGAAAAGTACCTTCCTCCCTGTGGACCCTCTGGCTGCTGCTTGCTAAAAGATCCCTGGACCAAGAGATGAGTACCCTTAGCCCTCTGGGTCTTTGGTCTGAGGCTCCACAGGGCAAACCTGGGGCTCCCCAGGGCCCCTCTCTGGTGACAGGGCCCCAACCACCTCCTGGAGGCAGCACCTTGCTCCTGAACAGAAGCCTTGCCCATGCTCCAGGTGCCAAAGTCCAGCTCGGAGGAGTTGCTGAATGGCCAAAGGTTCCCTCCTGTCGAGTGGAATATTCAGCCTAGGCAGGGGGCAAGGGCCTGTCCTGCCATCTGTGCTGACTCAGTGTCCAAAGCAAAAGGGAGCCCCAGGGAGCCCCTGTCCTTGCATTTTCTGGGCCCTGCCAGTATCTGCCAGATAATCTTGCTGGATCAGATGCCTGGGTGCTGGCCAGGAGGAGGGTGAAGCAGGACACTACAGTCACATCCTTGGCAGCCAACTTGGCAGCCCCCTTCAAGGCGCCCACTCCACTAGATCAGGAAGCGCCTGAGGATGGGTTAAGAGGCTCCTTTCAGAGGCCAGGGTTGGTGCCATGACAGGGTGACAAGAGGCAGGACATTGCCAGCAGCCAGAGGTGATGTCACCTGGGCTCTGAGGAGGACATATCACAGAGGTTCCGTGTGTCACCCAGGGAGAGAGGCAGCCTCCCCTTGGGTGAGACGGTCCAGACCTTCTCAGGACAGCTGTTGGACCTCAGGCCTAGACACACTAGTTATGCTATTTGTGGTTTTGGTGATTGCTTCATCTACTGGCTGCCTGTCAAACCAATCCTACCCCAGGATGGGCTTCTGAGTCCCAAACCCTTAACCAGTCCTCCCAAGGCCAGAGTTAAACACTTTGGTCAGGTCCCAAATTTGGAGAGTGGGCAGAGGGCGGCCTGAGCTACCTAGCTCATGTCCCAGAGAGTCAGCTGGCCGGGGTCCCACCAGGGAGCTGCCACACCCCACCCTGCTGTGACCCATAGCACGGCCAGTCAGGTCTTCTTAAGGAGTAAGCTCTGGCTCCTAAACTGTCACTGGCTCCCCGATGCCAACTGGATATAGTGAAGTTCCTTAGCTCGTGTGCAATGTCCTCTGGGATCTGGCTCCAACTGATCTTTCCAGCCTCATCTTGACCCCAGACCCCAGGCAAGCTGAACTCCCTGTCACATGTCACCCACTCTGTGAAGTCCTCCTGCCTGCAACCGCCCTTACTCTCTCCCACCTCTCTGGGGACCAACAAGCAACGTTTCCCGCTTGGCAGCGTGGGTCCTTCTTATCAACATCTTTCCTGCAAGCTGGGGCGCCTGCAGGGGGCCAGACTTCATCCAGCTCCTCACTTTGACTCCCCATGAAAGCCTGAGGCCTCTGCTTCCTCCGTGAAGGGTGGCCCAGCCTGGGTGTGTGTGTCCCCACCCCAAAACAAGAGTCCTGTTGGGAACCTGCACACCACAGAACCCGCCTCTTCCCTTGGTGCTCCTAGAAAGATTTCTCTCCAGACAGGCCCTGCTGGGGAGGTTCACTGCGCCTTCCTTCCAGGTCAATCTGACCTTAAAAAGTGAGTCCAATTTTGCAAGAAACTTACTTAACATAAGGACATGGAGGAGTCACCCAGACTCTTAATTCCTCCCTGAGAAATGGAGAGAATCAGGGTTGCCCTATATTACTCACGAACTCTTGGATTGAGTGTGAGTAGTGTTATGTAAACAGAAACCAACTCTTGGGGGTTCAGAAAGCCTGTGTTCCTCCCTGCCTGCCTGCTTTAAAGAGCTAAAGCTCTTCCTGGTTTTCTTTTCCCAGGACCTCCCTGAAACTCCCCAGGCCAAGTTGAGTGTGCAGCTGCCCACTCCTGACCTGCAGGCCCTGTTAGCCACCAGGCACTCTCTTCCTGGAAGCTGGGGCTGTGGGGAATGGCTTCCCTGAGGCCCGAGGAAGGAAAGGCTGGGGTTGGGTAGGGAGCTCTCAGAGGTCTGGCTGCACCCCCAGGCCTTGGGACACCTGTCACTAAGCTAGGGGTGGTAGGTACCAAGCCAGGAGTGGGTCCCACAGCTTTGTTAAGGGGAGCTGTCCAGGGCCCACAAGCTGAGGCTCAGAGGGAGAGACTCCCCCCACACCTTCCTCCTTTTGGAACTAGCCACCACACTCCCATGGCTTCCCAGGGCTTCCTGGACCCTCCATGCTCCCTGCTCCCCAGTCCTTTCCTGCCCTCCTCCTGGTCCCCACGCAGGGAGGCGGGCACAGGCACACTCCCAGCCTCCCACGCTTTTGCCCCTCCCAAGCCCGGGAGCCGGCCCCCGCAGGCAGGCCCAGATTTGCTGTGTTTGGCTCAGCCACCAAATCGGAAACTCCGCAGCTGGTGAAGAGACTCATTCATTCCGGCCTCCCTCCCCACCCGGCAACCAAGGCCTCAGGCAGGGTGGGGGAGGGTACTCAAGGTTGGCAGGAACCTCCTCTCTCCCTGTGCCTCACTCCCTGGGCAAAGGAGCCCTTTCTTCTTGTGCCTGTTTACTTTCCAAGAGGGGAGCCTCGGCCAAGGGCGTTGTGAAAGCGGCTCTGTTCGGGCCTTGCTGGGCCCTGGCTCGCTCCTCGAATCCTTTCCGGGAAAATGTGACATCTCCTCCCTGCTCTGAAAAGCCCTTCAGGGTGGGGTGGGTGATGCCGAGAGGGCTGCAGGGGAGGGAGGCCAGCGTCCTCCTTGTTTATTGGGAGCCAGGGCCCTGACCTCAGCCCGGCTCCCCGGGAGGAAGGAGGGGCCGAGTCCCCTCTTCCTCACAGCAGAGCCTGCCCTGGAGCAGAGCCTACCCTGGCCCCTCGCGGGGGTCCGTCCCCCTCCACCACGAAGCCACAGAGAGTGTGCCTGCATGCTGAGTGTGGCTCTGCCTGTCCCCAGCCCGCCGCCTGCCCCAGGGGGGCATGGGCCACCTGCCTGCACGATGCTGTGGCCCTCGGGGATGTCCTCGGGGACGCTGGCCTCATAGCTGCTCTGTAGAAAGATGGGCCTGTTGTCGTTCACATCCAGGACGGTGACGAACACAGTGGCCGTGCCCGTGCGCCGCTTCCCCACCGGGCCGTTGTCTGCAGGAGTTAAAGGAGGACAGAATATTAGTGGCTGCCTGAGGGGCAAACTTCCTGGGCCCGCACACTCCTGGGCACTGGCTCAAGATGTGCCCTGTCTTGTCCTGCCTGCCACAGTCTTTCCAAGGGGTGACTCTTCTTTCTAGATGAGGAATAGCACCTAACACAAACAGTACCTAATAGTTAGATAACGCTGTGTGTCAGGTGTTATTCTAGCTCATTCAGTGTCTCGCAATCGTGCCTAGGATGATGATCCCCATTTTGCAGAGGAGGTTGCTGAGGCACTCGCATGCACTGGATGCTGGCTTTCAAAAAAGACAAACTCCCGTTCCCTCCCTGGGAACCTGTGAGTGTTAATTTAGTTGAGAAAGGAGCCTTTGAAGATGTGGTTAAGGATCACGAAAAGAGATCATTCTGGGTTATCAGGGTGGGCTATCAATCTGTGACAAGTGTCTTTGCAAGAGGAAGGCAGAGGGAGATTTGAGACTCAGAGGAGACGACCCTGTGAAGATGGAGGTGAGACGGGGTTATGCACGCAGCTGCAGCCACGTGCCAACAACACCTAAAGCAGCCAAAGAGCCCAGAACGGAGCCTCCCCTGGAGCCTGCGGAGGGAGGGCGGCCCTGCCCACACCTTGACTTTGAACTTCTAGGCTGCAGAACCACGAGAGAATAAATTCCTGTTGTTTTAGGCCACTGAGTTTGGGGTGATTTGTTACGGCAAACCTAGGGAGCAGATTCAGGTACTAAGAGCAAACAGCCAATGGCTGTCAGGGCCAGGCGCGAAGGCGTCTGGGCCAGACACCTGGCTGGGACACCTCAAGGGGTAGCTGTCCTCTGCTCCAATTCACAGCTGGCAGGCAGCCATGGGCCAGGGACACCAGAGCTCCTGATTGCTCAAGAGAAATGGCACATTTGAACGTTTAAATAAGATCTCCTGATACTTAAATGTTCACAACGAATTGTCATCCCTTATAAAATACTGCATGGGTCAAACAAACACTCCCTCTGCATTCAGGGACACAGGCCCAGCTTGGCATCTGAGCCTGAGGTACCCAAGGACTCTGCCCCTCTGGTTCCCAGCAGGGGGAGGTGGTGAGGACCGGAGCCTCGGCTCAGCCCCAGGGGCGGCTCTTGGTTGTTCCTCCTGGAGGGAGACATCTGTGCCCAGTGCGGCGTGTCCAGGCAAGAGTGTCTCCCAGGGAGGAGTCCAGCAGCCGGAGCAGGCAGGGGACCAAGGGTGACCCCATCCTTCTCCCCAGGCCGGCCGATGCCATGCTGGCTGCAGCTCCTCTCCAGACCCGCCCCACCATCCTGAGGGGCTGGCTCTTTGCTCCGGCTGGGATCCGTGTGAGCTTGGAGACCCAGAAGGCCCCGGTGGAGGCCTTCTCCTGCCAGCTGGAGCCTGAAGGCTGGACTCAAGGGAGGGGAATGATAGGTCTCCAGAGGGTGGGGTGGCTGCCCCAGGGTGGGAGGAGGGCTGGGCAGAGAAGCATTAGGGGCATGGGGGGCTGGGAGAGACTGCTGGCTGGAAAGAGTGAGTCTCGCTGCAGACGCCGAAATGAGTGGTCCTGGGAGGACCAGGGGCCCCCAGGAGACACAGGCCTTGTCACACCGCTCCTCCCCTCCGGAGCCCTCAAGGGCTCCCTGCTGCCTAGAGGCCAAAGATCAAACTTCTGGCCCGATGTTTAGGCCTCTGCAATCCAGGCCTACCTGACCAGTCTTCCCATCTCCCCCAGTGT